TTAGTAAATGACTAATATATGATTAAACCAATGAATAGAATCATCAAGATTTTTAAAATTAAAGTCCCAGGGAAAAGAGCTAAGTCTTTAAGTCACTGGACATACCCAAAGCTGGCACTCAGACTGATTAAGTGGTCTAGAGTTTCATAAGTAGGAAAAAGAACTCTACCAAAAGGAAAAAAGTTATCAGTATCATGAAGCCATGACAAAGTCTTTTCTCTCTGTTATTTTTTGTTTGTTTGTTTATTTGTTTGTTTTTGGAGCTACTCCAGATGTTTGAAATGTAGGTATAGAGTAGAATAGTGAGGTCAGAAGTACTACTCTTGTTAACTGTATGATATGAACTGTATGATAAAGCACTCAGTCTGATCCTTGATTCTTACGTTTGAAAAATAGCAAAATTCTTACTAGTTATTGAATTTTATGATATATAATCTGATCTGTGAGGGACCAAGTACATTCTTGACACATAATATTGGCTTCTGAAATATTAAAAAGTTTGATAATCAATATTTGTTCAATAAACTTGAAAAATGAAAGGACAGGACAGAAATAGACTCACGGACAGAGAATACAGACTTGTGGTAACCAGGGGGGTGGAGGGTGGGAAGGGATAGACTGGGATTTCAAAATTGTAGAATAGATAAACAAGATTACACTGTATAGCACAGGGAAATATACACAAAATGTTATGATAAATCAGAGGAAAAAAGTGACAATGAGTGTGTATATGTCCATGAATGACTGAAAAATTGTGCTGAACACTGGAATTTTTCACAACATTGTAAAATGATTATAAATCAATAAAAAATGTTAAAAAAAATGAAAGGCATGAGGCATTTATAGAAGTCATGGATAAGCTTAATTGCACTTTCTGCTGTAACTAATTTCTTCCCACTTACTTAGCATAATGTAAAAAAAGTGATGACAGTGTAATGTGAATTTTCAAAGCCAAATTCCTCTAATATTGGTAATTTTCAAAGATAATAATACAATTTGAAATACATTTATCTATATTTTATTCATGATAGAAAACATAATTTGGTGACATCATTTTAGATTTTACCTATAATGAGTCTGAATTTTTTTCTGATCTACTTAATTTGATAATTATGTACTGTCACCTACTAAGAATTAAGAGAGGATAAAATATTATTGAGTTACTACTGGAGAGAGACTCAATGCCTAGGAGAAGTTGGCTCTGTTGCCAGAAAATTAACATTAATTTCCCCAGGAGTGCTGAAATTAAGAAGTCCCAAGGATATTTACTTATCAGAAGAAGGCAGTGTGGCTTTGGGGCTGAGAGAGCAGGCTCTGGAATCTCAGTGGCCTGCCTCTTACCAGCTGTTTGACCTCAGTTTCCTCATCAGTAACAGGGTAGTAATGGTTTTTGCCTCACAGGGCTACTGGGAGGATTAAATGAGACAATGCATATAAAATGCTTAGCACCGTGCCAAGATGAGTAAGTACTCAGTGAATATTATTACTCTGTATATGCTGAATAAAGTTGGTAGAGGAAGTACCCACCTCTGTTGAATTCAGGACTGGCTTAGAATTTGCCTGTCTAAAATAGACAAGATACTTGTAAGTTTGAAACTGACAAGGTATTGACCCATAGGCCACTCCTGTTTAATAAATCTAAGCTCCAAAGTTCAGAACAGTTTATTCTACCTGGCATTTCAATTGATTAGAGTGAATTTGTTTAAGGTATCCCCTTTCTTGATCAATGACTGTGTAACAGGGTGGTATATTATGTGTAAACGGGGTCTTCTTGAAACTTAGGTAGATTATAGATTCGAGACAGGTTTGTCAATTTGTTTTTCCTTCTAAATTACCTTTAACTGGCTGCTTAATTATACTCACTTTGTATTTTCTTGAAAACATTAAAAAATTCACTCCTACTCTGATCCAAGCAACCATATGTCCATAGTATGAATAAATCACACCCACAGCTGATGTTTAAGCTAATGAAATGAGAAATCTATTACATATCATCTTTGAGTAGTTCATTTATGCTGTTAGAGTGAAAAAAGTAGTTGTTTCCATCTGTACTTTAGAAATTAAACATTTGCTTCTCAAAGATTTTATTTTAATTGGCGCTAATATTAGTTTATTAGTAACAGGCCGCAGAGGAGTTGAAATCATGTTGCAGTAATGAAAAGGCTATGTTGTGTTTTCCTTAAAATACATTAAATCTTTCTCACATTATCTCACGTGGCAGTGAAAACTAGACCTTTATGTGATTTTTTACTTTTCCCCTTTTTTTGACCAATATCTACATAGATGGGATGGAAGCAGTTTCGTATTATAGAGACAGTAGTAACAGACTGAAGATGTTGATAGAGTTAAATTATTGTATGGCAGACTTGGTTAGTAGATGAGAAAAAACATTTTTTACGGGGAAGATTACGTGTATAGTCTTGTCATGATAGACCACCACAGTTTGTGAGTTCTCATCTCTTCCTGTTTAGCTATGTCTTCAGGGTTAATGGAGGATGTCAAAGTGACAAGGAGCCATTTTGTCATGTTCAGAGTAGTTTTGGTGGAGAGTTTGCTGTTCACTCCAAGAACCCGAAGGGAATGAGAGACAGATGGACTCATTTTCTTAAGAGTTCCCTCTTCTCTCAACACTGAAAAGTAAAGATTAACTAATTAAATAAGTTGAATGTTCTTACAAGCCCACATAAATGTATTTTTGAAGCTTTCCAAGTATCAACAAGACCTAAATTCTATTGAAATGCAGGGCGAACATATTGCATTGTACCTACATTTCTGCCTGGCTTTTATTTATTATATTTATTCAATCATTTATTCATTAACTCGTTCAATTACTTAATTTATTCACTTACTTATGTACTATGTGCCAGGCTAGACACTTGGGATACAAACAGGAAGAAGTTTCAAGGAACCAATGGACATTTTTGAACAGTGTAGTGACATGACTCATTAATTAAACAACTTACTGAGAATCAATTTTGTGACAGACGCTGTTGTACTTAATACTAACAGGTTTACTCTTAATGCTAAGAGTAGGCTTTGCAATAAGGTTATACTGAAGATGAGTCTGAAGGATGGGAAGACCTTAGGCAGGAGGACTATGGTGAGCATTCAAGCAGGAGATTATCATGGCTAGAGGCAGTGGGACCAGCATTGGCAATGGATTTGCAATATATTTAGAGGAGATGACACATAGCAGACATTTGGAAGTCAGTGAAGACACGTGGGTTTTTTTTTCATGGATGACTGGGCACTGAGAGAGAACATCGTCACAGAAAATTAGGCTTTTCAGATAGAAAAGAATGTGTTTAGGTTTAGAGAGGATGGATTTGAGGTGTGATGAAAGATCCAGAGAGAATTTTGCTGTGGACAGTGGGATATGTAGTTCTGGAATTCAGGGAAAAGATCTAGATAAGAGATACACTTTGGGAGCCACATCGTATTAGAGGGAATTGTGATCTAGGACTATTTCTCCTTGGCAAAGTGGTATGAGTTAGCTTTTTCCTTTGCTTTGTTACTCCATTCCCTGAAAGTGAGACAGTGATTTGATTGAAATCTCACTATACAGTAGTAGTATCTAATAGAAGTTTCTGTGATGATAGAAATGTACTGTATCTCCACTCTCAAAACAGAATTCAGTAGCCATATATGTCTGTTGAACACTTGTAATGTGGTAAATGTAATTGAGGAACCAAATTTTAAAATTAATTTTATTTTAATGAATATTTAATAGCCATATGTGGCCAAGTACCACTTTTTATTGGACAATATGTCCAACAGAACGGACAGAGAAGAAAAGCACAGTGAATAATCCTGGTGGGTATAGTATTAAGAAGTAGGGTAAAATGATACATTTTAGTAGGTGGAGGAAAGAAGGGGCTAGATAAAATTTGAGTACGCATGTATATGACCAACATTTTCCCATATTAAGATCATAGCAGGTAGGATCGCAAGACATGGTATGCCCTACATGCAAATAGAGATTTAGATGTATGGAAAAAAGTTATTAGTATTTCTGTATCAGATAAAGTGCTTATATCTTCCAGATTTAGAATCATTGCTCAGTTAATCTGTTTTTATCCTGCATCTTCACATGGGGCAGAATCTTTCTCAAGATGATATGGTATAGCAGTTTAAAGTGTTAACTCTGCCTTTTGACAGTCTGAGTTCAAATGTCTGTTTTGTCATATATTAGCAGAACAACCCTGTGAAAAATTCTTGATTTCTCTGTCTTAGTTTTTCAACTAAGTATTAATCCCAGGTTAACATGGGGGTTGTTTCAAGATTTAAACCACAGTAGACACTTAGGAAAGTGCCTTGACTCTAGTGAAGAGTTAATGAATGTTATTACCATTAACCTTAAAAATAAAGTTGGAGAAATGTTTTTAACTGAAACTATTTAGAAATCTTAATTAAAAAAGGACATTCTATGGATTGGCTTTACTGATTGATTTATACCTACACTCAAAGTTGTGTCATTTTATATCTAGACATTTTGAATAAAAGATCCCCAGTTTCTTTGTATTAATCTTTTTGATGATAGGGAAAATATTTTATTAAAATAAAGTTTAAAGTATTAGAATTAGAACCTTTAATTTGCTTCTATTTAGTAACTCTAATGCTTTTTATTCCTTTAAACATCTTATGTTTATAATTTCAACTGTTATTCATACTAATTCTTTTTTGTAATTTTTTTATCTTACCTTGGATAAGATGAAAAAGGATTATATAGTTCTAGATGTGCTGAAAACAAAATACCAGAAAAAAAGAAATAATCTTTTATAACATTTTTATAAACATGCCTTTATTATCTTTGGTTTCCTTTACATTTCAGAGATTCCAGATTATCATGCCAAAATGTTTTGTCTGTCTGTATTTTAAAAAATGATCAAAATGTTATTAATCAAATATCTGTTTTAAAATAAGAGTCTCTGTTTCCTGGGAACTCCAGAAATCTGAAAATACAAATAGGACAATCTTCTCTTTCTTACTCATTTTAACAGCAATTCCTGAATTTGTAACACAAGTGAATGTCGCCTTGGAAGCCTTAAGTAAAAGCTCTTTGGATGTGTTTGATGATAATCAATTTGTGGACATCTCCAAGAAGATCTATGATACAATTCATGATATCAGATGTTCAGTCATGATGATTCGGGTAAGTTTGCTTTACCTTCCATTGAATTATTTTAACACTCTTCACCATCTGGAATGCCTGGAATGATTGCAAGAAGTGTTTTATTTCTAAGCCATAATGTCAATGCTGAAATCCATTAGAACTTTAGAAGTTCATATGTATCCCCAAAGTCAGATCTACTGTCACATACAACGCTTTTACTTATGTATATGGTTATAACTTATGCAAGTGAGCATATTCAACTGCCGCATGTGCAGAAATGATGGGATTCTCTGTGTGCAGGGTTCGCTGAAGTGTCATGTAGCATGATCAGGAGCCAAAGAAACACACACAAAGTAATTGGCTTTTTTTTCTTGGACCAAAAGGAGAGCCTCTTTCTCATCACTGTACTGAAATCTGTAGAAAAATGTGTTTAAAACATGTATTTCTCTGGCTGAACTCTCTTATACTAGATCATAAAATCAGACTGTTCTGTACGAAATCTCACTGGGAACTGCCAGGAACAATGAACATTTGAACTGTCTCAGTCTGGGAGTTGTCTGTTTGGGGAAATACATACCATCTTCCCCAGGGTGTGAATGAGTCGTTTGTTTTGGCACACTGCATATACATAGACCAGGATTATTTGCTTTTACTCAATATGTTAATGTGGAGTACTTTTTAATTTATTAAAGAAAAAAAGGAGATGGCTTATTTTAGGATTGGTTCACCTGGAGGCAGAGTCGAGTATTTGTGTTATTAGCCTATTGAGGAAAAAGTGAGACAGAAAGTGAGGCAAGGAGGGAAGGAAAACCAATAAGGTGTAAAGATGAGTCCCTGCAGGCAACTGGGGTTTGAGCCTGCTGGGGAAGTCTAGGAAGGACTATAGAGCGTACCTCAGAATTATCTTACCTAAGGGGAACAGAATTCAATTTATTCAGTTGTTCATCCTTGATAAAGACTACCCCTCCTCAGAGGTGTTCTCAGACCCTCCTGCTGGGCCAGTCAAGCTCTTGTGGCCAAAAACAGCCACCCGCAGGCAGAGTAACAGTTGTTGTAGTAAGAGAATTCAGTAGGACTGGTGAGTGCAAGTATGAGCAGAGTTCAATTGGAAAGCCTCTGGATTTAACTTTTGGTAAGACTGTGAGATGGAACTGGACGTGCTGTATCAAGATACGAGTGGAGCATCCGTAGTGTCTGACAGGTCTGAAAGTCATAGTTTGGTTACACTGAGTGGTCATCAAAGTGGAGTCATTTGGGGACCGTGTAAGGAAAAGGGCCAATAAAAGTCAAGAAGTCCAGCAGGGCAGATGGATAGTTATGGAAGAAATTGTAAGAGAAAGTCTAGAGGAGCCAAGACGTGGAGTCTAGCACTTCAGAGCTTGGGAAAAACTGCCAGCAGGTCAGTTACACATATAAGGGAGAAACCTCAGAATATGTATTTATGAACAGCCTAGAAGTGTTTGTTCATACGTGACTGGGAACTGTGACACTGTACTAATACTATGTCTGAGCTGCTGAGTACCTTTGCCAAGTATTTTCTTCTTCTAACAAAAAATTTTTATACCTCACTGTATGGACTAGTGGGCTGGTGGACTAGGATTAATTAAGAGCATAATTTGTAAGTGAAACTATGAGAGAAACATGGAAAGTATGAACAAGACACATGAACTTCAGGAAATAGTTTTACAAGAGTGAAACCCCTACATCTCCAGTATCCCTGGGTGGGTATATGAGAAGATAAACCAATGAAATAGCATAGGTGAACCAGTGTAGGGAATGCACTTTGTTCCTGTCAAAGGCATCTAGGAATGAAAAAAGTTTCATAATCTCTCTCTCTTGGCTATTCTAGTATTTAAAAATATTCTTATTATGAAAATGGCTTGCTTAATAGCAAATTAAATTATCTGGCCATTATCCCTGTATATCCTCACATCCAGCAGACCTCTTTAGGGCAGGAAAACAATCTGTTACAATTATTCGCAGCCTTAGAGGGCTGTAATTTGTTCCTATAGTCATCTCTTTCTCAAGGTAAATACTCAGTTTAACTTTTCCTCATAGGAATAATTTAGTATTTTGTGTTCTTTGCTAGACCTTTTTAAACCTTTCAACAAACTTTTCAGAGAGGACTACCGAAAAGCACACTCTAATTAGAGCCTGTCCAATGTCAAAGAAGAAGATGCATTTTTATGTTATTGCTATTCATACAACCAATTACTGTTAGCCTAATTTTTTCCTCTTAAACACCATGATTATTGGATAGATAATGACTTCCTTTTGTTTTTGTTTTTCATTCTATTGTTGCCTGTATATCCCTTCTCCATTCTGATCTGATGTGTTTGTTCTTGGTCCCAAATCCTAATGCTATTCAACTTCATTGTGTATCTAAATGATTCTTCATGTAACTCATCAAGTTGCTTTTAAGTTTGGTTGGTGACCATACTTAAATTAGCATTAATTAGAAATAGGAGATTATAATCTTAGTTCCTTCATCTAGATTGTTAACAAAAATGTTAACCATATTGGCCCTTTATGTGACTAATTCCTGCTGCATAGCTCCAGTTAAGGTCATTAGTCTTAAGATGCCTTAGAATCTGATGTTCCAGCCAACTGAGAACACACTGGTAATGTATGGTTTGAAACAGTACTTTTGTTTTTGACTTTTGAATTTTAAGGTAGAGATATTCTTTCTTCAAACACACTTTAGGACAATAAAATAGATAAAAGCAGAGCTTCTGTACTTTAAATGGTCTAGAGGCCCTTGGTCTCTGCCCCTGCACCCCTAGTCTCCCAAACTGCCTCCAGGGGCTCCTCTGTAGACCCACAGAGATTGCTTGCAGGATGGTGCTTAAGTGTTTGTACTTAACTTCTAAGCGAAATATAGGAGGGAAACAGAAGTCTCACTCAGGTATAATTAATGAAAACCTATGGTTTTTTTTTTCCTTTGAGGACCGTCCCTTGATCATAGAAGATAATAAAATTGATCTGGTACAATCATCTCTTTAAAAGGTCACATGTAATGCTGACCAATATCCTGACCTTAGAGCTACAGAGGTTTGATGCTTTATTCAGAGACTCGGAAGAGTGTCAGCATTCAGGCAGTACGTTTATGATTATGCAGGTTTGGGGAGGGCTAGGCCGTGCTTTTGAGAATGTTTGTGAGTGTTAGAGTCTCATCTCATATCTGAATTTTCATGAGTGCTCTTTAGTGCCCTTGAGACAGTAAAATACTAACAAGAACAGAATCTGATATTTTATAGTTTTATAAAAATACGATTATATCTGTCTTTAATATTTATTTTGGTGAGTATGTTAGCTATTGTCTAGATTATTTTTTAATTTCTAAGCGAGATGCTGTGACGTCTATTGTTACTGTTGCCACTGGATTCAGTGTATGGACAGATGAGGTTGCAGATTCTCATTCTTCACCTTGGGGAGGAGGGAGTATTAATATTTTTATTCTGTTTGATGTTTAACATCTGTGTAAATTTTACAATTATTAAGAGCCCCTATAATATAATGGTTGAGACTGAAACAAGGAACAAATCTCACTAAACCTCAGTTTCCTCCTTTAGAAAATAAACTTGGTATTATCTCTACTTCAAAAAATTATTATACTGACAATTGAGCTAATAGAAATGAAGTACTTAGTAAATAATGGTCTCTCATAATAAGAAGGTCTTCTAATAGTATTAGCTATTGCCACTGTGAATAGTACTAGTATCGCTGAAGCTGCGTATTATTTTTTACATCTTGAAGAATGTTAGCTATGATGCTGTAGAAATACGTTCATGGAGCAATATGAAGCCAAAACCCAAAGAGTAACATGAAAGGGTGAAGTTCTAAACAAAGAATTATGTTTTTTCTCAAGATAATGTTTATATAAGAGAATATCCCTGTTTATTAACATTGAATATCTGAATTATAGATGATTTAATGCAAATTTTGCTTTTGAACTCACTTTAAGCTAGCATTATAATTCTGCATATTGTTTTAATTAACCTGTTGATACATACAAGGAGGCTCAGTGACTCATCTTTTTGGTGAAAGATTCTTAATCAGAAATAGAGGAAATTTATAAAGCACAGCACGATTGGATTGTGAGAGAATAACATGAGTGGCCAGCACTGAAATTCTCTCAAAAACAGGAAAAGATTCAGGAAAAATTCATCCTATAACAGCTATTCATAATACAACTTTCATATATTTTGTATGTGAATTTTCATATGTGACTTACCAAAAAGCACATAAAAATACAGAGATGCTTTCCAAAGACAAATGTGAAGATTTTCAAGACTATCATAAATTTAGATTTTCTGTGTTAGTTTTCTAACTTTATTTCCTGGAAGAGGGACATATTTGGGATATCTCACTGAATGGAAATTAATTTTTGAAAAAACAAAGGAAATAAAATAACACCCAGTTAAATGAACCATCTTTACATTTGACATTTAAATGGCTTCTAGAATTGGAACATAGTTCAATATACAGCTTCAATTTGCATTGCCAGGAAAACCTTTTGTGTCTGATTCTACCGTACTTATAGGAGTGGATAGATTTATAGCTTTCCCTGGAATTATATATAATTTTTAAAATTTAGATTACTTGCACTGTCATGATTTCATTGGACTTCATTATCCATAACTTCTTTTCTTCATGACCTGAAAAATGTCTTTTATTTGTCTTCTGGATGGAGCTGCTGTCTGTCTCTCTGAAGTCTCATGCTCCGACTCAGAAAGTCTAGTGGTCAGATAGAAGCTAACTAGTATAGACGATTACCTTGTATAATTAGAATTCTGTATAATTCAGTTTGGAAATGAAGAAATAGTGAAAAGAATATTGTGTAAAATCAAGACATGCGTTCACACCTTTCTGCAATACCACTGATAATGCTACTTTGCATGATATCATTAGTTTCTTCACTGTAGAGGGAAATGAAAACATAGCATTGAATTACTGCTTTTACCTAGTAAAGTAGCTTAAAACTTGGACTTAAAATGAAGGACAAACCAGTGTTCCCTAAAATTAGGAATAAAGTGAAA